GTGTCACGTTGGCAGCGCCTGCCCGCGGGGGCTCCCCGGCGTGCCCGGCCCTTTGGCACACGATGCTCAGGGCTCCTGCCGCCGCGCCCGCCAGCGCCTCCAGCCCTCCGGGGCGAGTCCCACCCGCCCCGGGGACTTGTGATCCTTCGGCCGAGGCCGCTGGTCCCCGGTAACTTCCGCGGCCACAGAGGGCAAGTCCCGGCTCGCGCACCAGCGGCCCAAGGCAGGGTCGGTGCGGCCCAGGGTCTGTCAGTGCTGCTCGGGGCTGAGGCCCGGGAGCACCGAACGCCTCCGTGTTTTCCCGTCGCCGCCGCCCAGGTGAGCACCTCCAACACGCACCAGCCCCGCGTTTCCTTTCGGCCTCTGCTGATAGACTTACCTACAAAAGCCCTTTTTTGCCTGACCCAGCACCGGCCGGTGTCGGCTGCAGCCGAGCTCTGGCCTTTACCGATTCCCCCGGGGCGTGCCCTGGGGCTCTGTGACCCTCTTGCGGTCTCATCCCGCCCAGCCCCGCGGGGAGGCCCCTGCTCGGTCCAGCCGCTCTCCCACAGGGCTCAGGATGCCCTGGAATGGCCCCGGCATCGCCGGCTCCTTCCTGGGATTTTGTAGGTGGCCCTTGGCCCCTCCGAGCCCTGGCAGTGGATGCCCTGGGACGCTGCTCAGGGCTCCCCACGCCGCGGAGGTGAGAGGGCTCAAAAGAATGAATTCCTGACAATGATCAGGGATGTCTGGGAGCTTTGCTTGTGCTTTGCTTCCCTTGTTTCTCAAGGACTCCTGAGCCTCAGGTGGTTCCTGAGGTCCCTTTGTCTGTTTGGGTGGGACCGAAACGCTCGTCGAGCTCCCGACAGAAAAATCCCTGGGAGGAGACTCTGGGCCTTCAGCAGGCACTTGGGCAACCCCTGGAATAGGAAAAGTACGATAAGGGGGGGCTGGAACAGAGACACAGGGACCCTGTTCTGGGGAGGGCGATTCTGCTGGTTTAGGAAGGAGGCACCTGGGCTTCACTGCAGCGCGCCTGCTCTGAGAGCTCAGCTGGTAGAGGATCCCCCCAGACCAGGGGCATGTCCCTCAGGGAGCGGCCGCAGCTCCCAGAAAGCGCCTCTAGATACGATCTGACCCACAACACAAAGAGGTTTCGGGGGTTTTCCAGGAGCTTTCAGCTCTCAGTTCATCACCAGTTTTCAAAATCCCACTGGATTCCCCAGTTGCCACTGGTTCTACCCGTTCCATTCCACGCCCTCGTCGGACACCGCTGCCCACTGACGCAGCCTTCCCTCGTCACGGTTACTCACCTTCTGAAGAACCTTCATCATAATTCACTTCCAAACTCCTGAGAAAACACTCAAAATGTTCTATTTAACAGATATTTAATCTATGTCGAGCTTTTCATGGCCGAGCCTTTCTAAGTTGCTTAAACTGTCAGTGTTGTTCCTAGAGCACCTGTGCTCTATTAAACCTATAAAACAATATCTATTTATTAATTATTCCTGCTAGTAATAATATCCTAAGAGAAAACAGTTTTCTAAAGCTTGTTCCTTTTCCATCAGCTAGCGACCACTGTGAGGAAGACCCTGGACTTCTCCCCTCGCCCACACCAGACCCTCCCTCTCCTTTCCCTGCGTGTGCCAGGACTGGGCAAACGAACCCCGGGAACTCCTGTCAGGTACTGGAAATTAAATATGTAAAATTGGGTGTCGGAAGTGTGGGGAAGGCAGAAGAGCAAACCAGTGAGAGGTCTGCGAAGCGCACATTTCCCTTGACACCGAGCGCCCAGAACAAACACAGCACCTTGGTCCAGTGATTTGAGCTCGATGTGGCGCCAAGGGAGAGTGCAAGGGGGGCGCAGGCCGTGCCGTCCCGTTCTGTCCCTTCAAGGACAGACTTATCTCCTGTTCTGCTCGATTCCCTTGAACTGTGATTTTTTGTAGCAACCTGCCAGCCCTGTGCCTCATCCTCCCTTCCTTCCCACGCAACCCAGCTCCACCTATCATACCAAGTCAACCTTGCTTCCCGTTCTCCCTCTTTTTTTCCCACAAAAAACAGCTGTACCCCTTGGCACCATGAAACTAATTATGTATTAATGATAGAATAATGATTTGCCTCCAGTCCCACCCACTCACCATACCTACTACAATAAACAGTACCCCAAGTTTGTACCTAACTTGGAGGGACAATGATCCGACAGCAACTCGGAGGGGCAGATCGAGGGGTGCGTGCTCTCCCCCCCAGCAGGACGCCTTTGGGTAAGATTCCCTCGGCTACGCCGAGTGACCCCTGGGAGCTGTGTGTGTGCGACTGCAATCCTTTGGTTTTGCGTAGTGCTGTAGAGCCAACCTGCGGTGTGTGCATTTATCGCAGGCGATCTTAAAGAATCTGTAAGTGTTGCACGAAAAATAAACCGTGCTGTTCGCGAACCTGGCGGCTCCTCTCGGATGCGACCAGAGCTGCAGCGACCGGGCTGCCGGGGCTGGGTCAGAGCAACAGTCCCGGTCTCAAGGGGCAAACCCGTGAAGGGGCAAGTCCAGCCGCCCCCAGTCCCTCTGATCTCTGAGGGGATTTATCTCTTACCAAATTTATCTCTTACCCTGAACGCCACAACGCCTCCCCCCCAGACCCCCCTCTGCAGGGAATGTGATGGACGTGTGCGGTCTGTGTGTGGCAAACCCCCGTCCCTCGCCAGCGACCCGGGGGAACGGTCCCCGGGTGGCACCGGGGTTCCTTACGGCGACTTCTCCCGATTTCGGAGGATTGCTCATGGTCCCGCCGGCCCCGGGGCAGCTCTCCCGGGGACGTACCAAGAACCGCGATATTCAGCACAAATACGAACGCGGCCGGGTTCTAGCG